GGGGGGGGGGGGGGGTGGGGGGGGGGGGGCGGGGGGGGGGGGGGGGGAGAGAAAGAGCAAACCCTTTGTGCAGTATTTTTCGTTTCTATTGCTTCCTTGATGTCAATTTTCATCAGTTTCAGGGCCCTTCTAGATGGATTGCTAGTATCTTCTATCAAGACATTTGCATCGTTTAGTTTCTCAGCATTCTTCTCAGGGACGACACCTCGTTCACTCTCACTATCAGATGTTTTAAGGGCAGAAATAAAGAGAGGGTGAACAGAGAGAAAGACGTAATATTTAACCCAACTTCCCAAAGAACCATTTCTACTAGAAAAATTATAACATTAAATTCCAACCTGTCCACGGTTGAGTGATTCTGTGGAGAGATCCCATTCCATTTCTCTGAAATAACTCCATTCAGTCCATTGTGATTACTAGCAACAGATTTCGGTCTATGCTCTACTGCAACTTCCTTGATGTCAGTCCCTACTTTCCTGTGCCCTTTTTCTTCCCTCCTCTTTTTACCTTCCTCAAGTGCTTCATCTCTCCTCGTTGAGGCAAGTGCATGACGCTCTTCAATATGCTCATCCAACTTCTCTCGAAAAATGTCTGTTGCAAGGACTTGATCGACCAGTTCTCGGAAGATTTCCAGTTTCACATTAATGTCTAAAAGGCCATAGTGACCCCGCTTAATTGTACTGACGTGTGTAGATAATTTCAAAGCACAACTGGTTTCCACGAAATCACATAAATACTCTGTCCAAGTGACAGCTGTAATCTGGAATAAGAAGATAAAGTTGGAGGTTAATAATAAGAATAGGGTGGTGACTTTTTCAAAATAAATGGAGAAGTGCATCAAAATGAATTCTACACGTGATAGAAATAATAGACGAACTATATGTTCAGATTGTTTAACCTTTGGCCTCCTTTTCTTATTTTCTATAGCCATGGAGAAGTCCCCATTGTCTTTCATTAGCAAGCGAAGAAGTGCTGAATAAGATTCTACAATGAGAGATGGAGTACTGTCCTTATGGCAAATGGCATTTTCAAAATCTCCAAGGGAGAATGGCGACAAGCTTAATAACCTGCCAAAAGAAGTACAAAAATCCCACACCATCAAAAGATTCCCAACACAATCCATGGGTACATAGAAATCCCTGCAAGGAGAAGGACGCTCTGTCAAATCTTGGTCTTCCTCAGAAGGTTGCACCAATAGATCATCGATGGGATATTTAACAGCCTGAGCTTCTGGTTTCTCATTTCCTTTCCTGTGAACGAAACCATTTTCATTCACCTCCTGTTTAAAATAAAGAATACAACAACATCAAAATTAATTCCAAAAAGATCCAAACAGACGGGAATCGAAACAAAATCTCAATATTTACCCCCGTATTTTTCTCAATGTCACTTCTTTTTCTCTTCCTATGACTAACTACAAGTCCATCCTGTATGGAAATTTTACTTTTTAGTTCTTCAGGAGGAGCAGTAGAAATTCCATGCTTCTTCACCAAACTATCATGTAAGACCCAGGGAAAACTTCGATATGTTGAATCTTTGATAAAAGACTTGAGAACAGCCCTAGTAAAAGGCAGTTTCTTCCCAGTCAAGTCTTCGCCTTTTAATAATGCCTTTCCAGTTACTTTATTGTCACTTCCAAGCCACGTAACCTCGTAGTGAGTTTTGTCCACCTCTTCGGGAACCTTTACAATTCTACACCTATGTAAACGGCCATCCTTTTTCCCATATAATACAGCACCCTCTGAGAAGGGTCCCTGTAACTTTGCAGCAATAGAATTCGCGAGATCTTTTAATGTGAGCATGCCTTCCAGCCAAAAAATAAAAAAATAAATTAAATTATCTGAAGCAATGTGAAAAACCAGTGATTAATAGACCAAAAATTTTTGTAAACTATCTGAAGCAATGTGAACAACAGTGATTTATAGACCAAATCCTCATGTTCAAGGAAAAAAAATTGATTTCTAAATCTATCAAAAGCAATGAAAACTACAGTGACTAATAGACCAAATCCGTACTCAAATTCAATTTGACCATTGGCTCGCTGAAGCAATTCCCTGCAGTTAGAACTTGAACATCATGAGTTAAAAAAGTTAGTTGGCATATCGGCAATTTGTCTATTCACTCCTAGAGTTGAGTTCCAATCTAGAGCTTACAGTGGGAGAGGGGTTTGGAAAAGGGCTTGCTAGTTTTAAATTCATATGGTATCCAAACATCATCAAAGCACATATACAAATTAAATCAAAGGCTTGTTACATCAACTAGCACCATGTTTCTCTTCGTTGTTACAAAAGCATCATAAAGAATAAGCAGCATAACTTACAAGTAAATCAGATATAAAGAAGGTAACTAGAGCTGCCACTTTATGATTATATAACTTCAAGATAATAACTAAATATATATTAACTTATCTATACCTTCAAGTTGAGTAGCAAAACTAATCCTTTAAAACAACATAGAAACAGGTATATAAAACATGTTTATGTGAAATGGTGCAAAACGGAGTCTAGCCACCCACATAAAATAGTTAATTTATATAGTTTTGTTGATATTCATGTACAAAACCAACTTCATTGATTATCATAACAATATATACCTAAATCCAGTACACATGAATGATGAGCCATTCTTGCTTCAAGGAGAAAAAAGATGGAGATACCAAGTGAATTCAATTGCCAAAAGTATAATTTACTAACTAGCCAACCGTGAACGTCATGTGACAATAGGCAACTCATCTTGCCATTTTTTATCAATAAAAATCATCAATGAGCACCATATGGTCGGACGCAAATTCTATCTCGTCATTTTTTGTCAACCAATCAATTTCAATGTTCCAGGCTTAAAACTCAAATTTATTTTGTCAAGCTCCTTCTCAATAACCACGAGACGCTTAACTCTTACTGAGTCCGAAAATAACAGCAAAACATTAGTAGCAAAACATAAAAACTTTCCGATCTCCATTCACACTTTATCCCCATGCCATTTCCTCTGGAATCCGCAAGCATCACTATGGAGTCACAGTTTACATTAGAAATTCCTATGCATATATTTAGTCAAACAAAGTTATATCTAGTGTTTAGAAAGGCAAAATTGGGTACTGAACTGTTTTTCATTCAAGGCAAGGATACTCAAAGCGCTTGGAGGCGTAAGCCTCACCATGAACCAAAAAATATAAAAACAACAATTTTTTTCAAATTCCATGTCAAGTCTCTTTTATTTTTTTTTCCAATATTTGAATCAATTAATCTATCAACTAGGTAGTGCATGGATGTATCATGTATCTATCATGGGTTCATAACGTTTGTCCTCTAAACATTTTTCTTTTTTCTTTTTTTCTTTTTTTCTTTTTTGAAAAGTATTCTATTAAAACTAAGAAAAAAGGAACAAAGGAGAAGATGAGACAAAAGTTGACCAACCAAATTCTTTTAAGCGAAAGGGCTTACAGAAGTAGCAGACCTATGGAGACTTTCTTCTAATCCCAATTCACCCAATAAATGGCTGATAAAGAAGGAAGGAAATGGTAGTTTTAACTGTAGCAGGTGAAAAATGGATTATTTAAGTTCCCTGGGCATCTTTTAGCCTGGAGGACAAAAGGGCTATGGCATTGGAAAAGAAGAAGGATGGTTTGGGGACCTCCTGCCCGACCATAGACTTTTGAAGTTTTTGTCACCAATGTGCACTGATTTGGCAGTATAATAAAATGATAAATTCTTAAACTTAAATTTGGCATAAAAGATGTTTTGTCGTGATGGGAGTATGGATTAAAAAACAAGTTCAGAAAACGAAATTTGCATCTTAAAAGAATTTGAATATATAATTATGCTTGTGGTCTGTAGATTCTTGTTGCTTACAATAACATTTCGCCTAGTGCCTGACTAACTGGAACTACACTAGTTTGACATCACCCAATCATTTTGCACCAGCCTTATATTATTTACAGATGAAGCGATACGTCAATATCAACAAATAAAACAAAATCAAGATCTAGGCTCATATAATTGATGATAGCAAATTTGGAACTAAAATTCAATGGAAGGGCTAATAACAATAAGGATAGAGAAATTACTGAATTGAACTTCACGAAGAACGGGAGCCACTAACTCCTTAGGGAAATTTTGGATTCTTTCTGCGGCTTCTTTCTCTGAAACCAAAGCCTCTTCATAGGTTAAGTTAACCTTCCCCGTGGCTTTGCATGTCCACACTCTTTTTCGATATAAATTGATCCTCTTCAGATATTCACTGGACATTGATGAATTGAGTTAAATATAACACTCAATGCAAAAGTTTTTGAAAGTATGGCACACAGACTAACGAACATTAAAAATAAAATGAAAACAAAATTAACCTATAATCTCTGAAAATTTCTTTAGTAAATCGAACTTGAAAGACAAGCTCTTGAGGCTTTAAATCCTTGGGCTTCTCCACCAGAGGAAATGGCTTTCTTCTGTACAGAGGCATTTCCGTTACGTTCTTAATTTTCTTGGAATTTCAACTTCAAACCCTAGAAAATAAAGAAAGCACAAAGAATTACGGATCCCTCGAAAAGGTAAACAAAAATTCTAAACGAAGAAATCAAGGTAAAAAAAACCCGAACCCTGAAAAAAAATGAGAAAGACAAGAAGAGCCAATAAATCCTATAAAAATATCAAGAAAACAAAATCCCAGTTCACAATGCCGGTAAAACATACGGAAAACCCAAATGAAAAAAATAAAAATAAAAATAAAAATAAAAAATCTGAAAAATCTAATTTTGACAATTGAAATTACGGCTGAATAGCAAAAAGAAAAAGAAATCAAGGGCACATTCATTTCATTAACACTCCTCGGTACTATAAAGCAATAATAGAACACCACAGAAGATGCCATAAAAAATAACAAAAAAGAATCTTCTTTTTTTCAGTTCGTCAATGTGAAAAATAATAAACAAATTATTTCCCGCCAGAAGCAGATTTAACAAGGAGAGGAGATTTACCAGAGAGTATGAATTGAATTGATTGAGTGATTGAATGTGCGCATGCGAATACGTAATGAGTATTTATAGGAAAAAGAGAATCGGTAGAAGAAAGAGAGGAGCGGTGATGATTCGTTTTTTCGCCGCTGAATACTTGCGCGTTGTTCCCTTTCTCTCCCTTCTTCCTCCTTTCATTTCCTCGTCCAACGTAAGTATATTCGATTTTTATAGGTTTTTTTTTTTTTTTTAAAGGACTTCTTTGACCGGTAAAAGGTGGAAAAAGGACCAAGATTAGTATTGATATTTTTCTTTTGAAGACTTTTTGTTTGTTTTAGTAATTGGGGAAATTGCGGTGTTGGTTCTTGACCTATTGACCTAGTTGTTACATGGTCCCTACCTAATTTTTTGGGAGAGTGGTTAATCCCTAAGTATATATTTGAACTATTTGATTGTTTATGCTCAATTTGCTATTAAAAGATCAACACTACTTGCAACGGAAATTAATGAGACAGAGAAAAATTTCAATGTCAAGAATCAAGACTTCTTACATCTCTTAAATTGCTGACAAATTGTCTATGTATTCCAACAGTAACAAGAAGCAGTACCTAAATGTCATACCTCATAAATTTGGTGTTGATTTCATGAATCCATTTTTAGACATAATGCAATAAATAAATAGAATGAATTTCAGAGTCCCCATCTGTTAAACAAATGATTGTTTAGCCTCCAACGGTGATCCACACAGAGAATAAGATTGCAGCTACCAGGGTTTTTCCTCTTGTGCCAGCAAGAATAATGAAAACCATATGGATTTCAAACCCTAACTATATATTTATATAAATCCAAACGGGTTCGGTCCGATCCGATCCAATATTTAATTAATCCATTTAATTAAATCCGGTGCGTGAATTAATTAATCCAATTAATTAATTCGAGGATATAAATAACCAATCCAATTAATTAATTCATCCAACGATTGTTAAATTAATTAATTGGTAATTTGCAATCTTTCAATTCTCTTTTGTGTGCGACCCATCAGGTTCCCGATCACGATATCTAACGACGTGAAATATTATTTTGATCTAATCAAAATTGATAAATTAAAACACCCTTTTAATTTATCGTCAATTCACACTCGCCGTCCTAGATTGACATCTAACAATGTGTCAGGGCAATACATGTGATGAGAAATGTCATGTGGTATGACAAAACCAAACTCGTTCGTTTACCGTGAAACTATAATCCCTTGGTCAATATGATCCGATCAATTACGAGATATGGAAGTGTGTCAATCACGATTATCGATCATATCTTTCACTCCACTATTAAGTCAATATAAGTCGAAAACTCCTTTTCGACTTATGAGTACACTTTGGCCAAGGATTTCATCATCGACTTAATTGAATGAAATGCAGATCATAATCTCCTACTATCTAAGAGTGACAAATCCTTTATTGGTCAATCACAACCTTTATATGATTCTTGACGTACCCGAACGATATCTTATTAGCGGCCCTTTGCAGAGCAACATCTAACACCGTCAAAGTATGACTGTCCTCATATAAGGTACTATGACGACCCCAAGTCAAATGACCAATTCCACTACCGAACGTTAGAGATTAACCACTGATACTCAGATAGTTATCCATGTGGAATCTCTTGACGGGTCTCCAATGTTTTGTTCTATAACAAAACATCCACGTGTTCATTTAAGTGTCGCCACACTTTAGTTTGTGAGATCAGCTACTTACTTCACAAGTAAGAAATGCCACACGTGATGGTCTATCCGTAATAACGATATCTGTATCTCGTTATTACTTATGACCACGGACGATTTAAGATTCAATCAGATATAATTTATATCTCACAATCACAACTCCTTGTGATTAACAAATTACGAAGATTTGAATCTACGGACTCTATTATTTATTTAATTGTTTATTAATTAAATAATAGATCTGCCATTAAATTGCATTAATTATATATCAAAAGTATTTAAGCACAAAGTTGATTGGACCTAGGGCATAATACTTACAGTGACTAAGGCATGGCTACTAACCAGCAGATGAAAACTCATTAAGGTCTGAGTTCGTCATGAACAGTTGAAAGAAATGCGTTATAAAACATAATGAACTGAGTAATACCATTCATAAACAAATTACTTGAAGATGGAAACTATAGAATGAAAAAACAATATCTCACGGTGACAAGTTCTTGAATGAGTAGAGGAGACAACCATGCTTCCAATAATTCCTCTCAAGTGTCTATGTTGTCAGATTCTAAAGTCCTACACATTTAAGCATATCCTCCAAACTTTCAAACACGAGACGGGAGTTGAAACCTTCATAATACCTCAAAAATTATTCACTGCCACCTACAAACATATATGCCATCATATCACAAAAAATCAAACCGTAACACATTTGATAAGCAAGAAAAAATCATTTTGAAAAGTTATCACGTATGTCAAATGTTATCCAACAATTGCACATTACCATACCACGAGCAATATGTTGGGAATCTACTTATACATGCACAGCGGAAAATTAAAATTATTTCGATTCCCACCGAGGATCTCTTTGTGTTTAGATAGAAATCGTGATAAAGATTGTACATTTGAATAATTCTGTAAACCTTTTGCTTTTCTTTTCGTTCCAGCAATCTTGAATCTGCTTCCCACAACTGTCCAATTGTCCAGCCTCTAATGAAATCCACACAGAGAATAATATTGCAACTACCAGGGTTTTCTTTCTTGTACTAGCAAGAATAATGAAAATCATATGGACATCAAATTCTAGCCATTTATTTATATAAACTCAAATGGGCTCGCCCCAATCCGGTCCAATATTTAATTAATCCATTTAATTAAACCCGGTCTGTAAATTAATTAATCCACTAGCAAAAAGCTTTTACCATTATTGTATTGGAAGAATCATGCAAGCATCACAATAATGAGTGCACTCTGCAACTACTACAAGACTATGTCTTTGGAAGCTAGCAAGAAGCTTCTACAGTTGGAAAAGATTTGAATCGCCTTGACAATAATTTAACCAAGACTCGATCACTGAGTAATCCATGAGTTATTTTGATCTAATCAAAATTGATAAATTAAAACACCCTTTTAATTTATCCTCAATTCACACTCGCCGACCCTGATTGACATCTAGCAATGTGTTAGGGCAATACATGTGACGGGAAATGTCATATGGTGTGACAAAATCAAACTCGTTCGTTTACCATGAAAGTATAATTCAATTTATTGGTCAATCACAACCTTTATATGATTCTTGACGTACCCGAACGATATCTTATTAGCGGCCCTTTGCAGAGCAACATCCAACACCGTCAAAGTATGACTGTCCTCATATAAGGTACTATGACGACCTCAAGTCAAATGACCAATTCCACTACCGAACGTTAGAGATTAATCACTGACACTCAGATAGTTATCCATGTGGAATCTCTCGAAGGGTCTCCAATGAATCATTTATTAATCAATCACAACCTTTATACGATTCTTGACGTACCCGAACGATGTCATATTAGCGGTCCTTTGCAGAGCAACATCTAACACCGCCAAAGTATGACTGTCCTCATATAAGGTACCATGATGATCTCAAGTCAAATGACCAATTCCACTACCGAACGTTAGAGATTAATCACTGACACTCAGATAATTATCCATGTGGAATCTCTCGAAGGGTCTCCAATACAGCGGAAAATTAAAATTATTTCGATTCCCACCAAGGATCCCTTTATGTTTAGATAGAAATCGTGATAAAGATTGTACCTTTGACGGATTCTGCAAACCTTTTGCTTTTCTTTTCGTTCTAGCAATCTTGATTCGCCACCCACAGTTGTCCAATTGTTCAGCCTCCAACGGTGATCCACACAGAGAATAAGATTGCAGCTACCAGGGTTTTTCCTCTTGTGCCAGCAAGAATAATGAAAACCATATGGATTTCAAACCCTAACTATATATTTATATAAATCCAAACGGGTTCGGTCCGATCCGATCCAATATTTAATTAATCCATTTAATTAAATCCGGTGCGTGAATTAATTAATCCAATTAATTAATTCGAGGATATAAATAACCAATCCAATTAATTAATTCATCCAACGATTGTTAAATTAATTAATTGGTAATTTGCAATCTTTATTTCATTTCTATGTATTATCTCTTTGATGAGATTATACCGCCTTAATACATGTTTAGATCATTGATGAGACCTTAGTTTCTTTACTTTCGCAATAGCTCTATTGTTATCACAATACAATGGTATGTGATCAACAATATCAGGAACTACTCCAAGTTCATTTATGAATATCATGATTCAGATTGCAACTATTTGTTACTTCTGAAGTAATCATGTATTAGGTTTCTACTATTAAATCAACGGTTGCTTCATGTTTGGAACATTTCCAACATATCATTTAAGAGTAAATCAGTTTCTCCATATGAAATCTTGAGAAGATTTCATCTATGTAAATTGGGATGAGTTAAGCGATCTTCTAGATCTACCTCTATAGATCAAGTTGTTTTTCCCATATCGTTCATGAATAAATCATTTAACAACCATTATTTCAACGATTGAAATATAGGGATGTCATTTTCTATAATATTAGGAATACGACAATACTCCCACTATCTTCTTGTAAACACACAATTCGTCTTCAAATTTGATAAAATCAAACACTTTGACTTTTTCCATCAAATCAAATATTTCAGCTCCATAGAGACTTATCTTAACATTTAGTTACGATATGCAGCTATTGCAAATAAAACCCGAATGAACTTTAGCAAGGTCACAGGAGAAAAGTTTCACCAAGGTCAATACTTAACCTTTGCTTCTAGCCTTATTTTGTATATATGAATATTCACATCCACATCGACTCTTCCCTTGTAAACTATTTACCAAACCTTATGGGTTTTATTCCATCAGGAGGCTCGACCAAGGTTCAAACCTTGTTCACATACGCCGAGTTCATCTCGAGTATCATGGCCTATTGCTGTCTCTTTTAAGTCAACACTTGACTTTATTTTGTTGCAACTAGCAGGTTCATTTTCCTGGATCACTAATACCTGATTAATGATCATGGATTCGCACCTTCTTGAAAGTCGAATGATCCTACTAGATTCACATAGAGCTTTCATGTCCTCAAGAGCATTTACTTCCAGATCCAATGTATGTCCCATATAAGATATGGGATTAAACTCGGATTTATCTAATTGGTTAACTATATCTGTGGACTCTTGAACTCTTTCAAGTTCTATTTCGCTCCTACTATCCTCCCCTAGAGTAAACATTTTCTCTAAGAAGATGATATGTTATGAGACGAAATTTTTCTTCATGATAATAAAATTTATATTCAAATGTCTCCTTTGAATATCCCCACAAATACGTATTTATCAGATTTAGTGTCAAACTTATCTGATTTAAGGCGCTTCAAATAAGCGTTAATGTTCTATAACAAAACATCCACATGTTCATTTAAGTGTCGCCACACTTTAGCTTGCGAAATCAGCTACTTACTTCACAAGTAAGAAATGTTACACGTGATGGTCTATTCGTAATAACGATATCTGTATTTCGTTATTACTTACGACCACGGACGATTTAAGATTCAATCAGATATAATTTGTATCTCACAACCACAATTCTTGTAATTAACAAATTACGAAGATTTGAATCTACGGATTCTATTATTTATTTAATTGTCTATTAATTAAATAATAGATCTGCTATTAAATTGCATTAATTATATATCAAAAGTATTTATATCCAAAATTGATTGGACCTAGGGCATAATACTTACACAATACACACATGAACGATAAATTTATGTGGAAGGACGAGGGGAGACACATTTATTTAGTAAAATCAGAAGGATAAGGGGAAGGCAACGAAATAATCTACTTCACTGCTGCAGTAAGTACTCCATAGAGCAGTATCTACCGCTGGACTTTTTGCAGATCAAAGAAATGAGGGCTGAAAAATTCATGTACAGAGCCAGATAAATCACTTTTCTCCTCTGCAACTAAACAACAATATGTTGATTTTACTTCCGAATATTCGACATAAAATTACTGTACCATGTAGTGCAGTGGTCGTATATAATGGTGGATGGGAGATGGTTAAATAGTTAAATACAAATGATTCAAGACAGAACTCCCTTCTTGCTGAAGCAAGGATCACAACAAGGTGCTATGATTTAATCCATTAAAGATTGCAACTTCTGCTACCCCATAAACAGCCACTGGTTTGTATGAACAGATAATAGGTTTAATACCTGGACGAAGCTATTCATGCAAAAGAGAGTGAATCCATATCGCAAAAATATCATAATCGAATTTGCATGTGACACCAAGTGTTGAACAATTGGTAGCTTGGACTTCGAGAGTTCGAGTTAATGTTTTATAGACGATATTTTCTACTTGCACGATTTTTATTTTTTACATTTTTATTCACTGGTGTTGAGGCTTTGAATTTCATTTATTCAAATCAAGGGTCAAAATGATGTCATTCAACATATTCGTCGATAAAAGTTTAAAATAATTTTGTATAAGTACTTTAATTGTTTATAGACAAATTTACCGGCATCCCATATACACAACGAGAGAGAATCATCGTTGACTTGGTGTTTTCAATTGAAAGTTAAGAAATTTAGGGAATGTATTTAATTCTTACTTTCAAAGATTTTCTGAGGTTTATAAAATTTAAAGGTTTTCAATTGACTTTTTGAGATTGAAGTATTAGTATATTTAGTAGACACTTAGCGTATCCAATTAAAAAATTTTAGAAGTCTAGTAAACTATCAATTATTTTTTGAAAACTATGTAAGAGTCTTTAAACAAAAATAAAATCTTAAAACTTGTCTCTCATTCATCCTAAATTTTTGAGACACTTGTACATAAATCTCGGATTTAAAAATTAAATTTTTTTCCTACTAATTTTATTTCTCTCTCTCTCTCTCTCTCTCATATTATTTATCTTTATTTTCTATGATAATTAATTTTTTTCATCCAATTTTTTTAATGAAAAAGAACAATTTATAATTAAATTTTATAGAACTTTAAATAGAAAAAACTAATTAAAAATATCAAATTTTTATTTACTTTTTAAAGATATTATATTTGCAATATTAAAAAATAAATATTTTTTTTTATTTTAATTAAAGTGACTTAAATTTTATTTTGTTTAAATATATTTTTAATTACATGGGATAGAAAAGGGAATTGTGGGATCAACCGCCACATACAATGTGAAAAGCTTACATTGCTACATTAGACTCACGTAAATTTTAGTTTAAACGAGTCTTCAAAAGTGTGAAGAATTCTATGAGAGTTTTAAAATGAACGTCTATAAAAGTCTATTAAAGATTTCAGTGGCTAAATTTGGTTACTTTTTTTTAATTTTTATTTATTTTTGTTAAATGGAAACTTGATTACTTTTACAAGTGTGGGTACATTCAACACTAAGCACTTGATATCTGCATAAATATTAAAAGGAAAATAACAAATCTAAAAAGTTGTGGAATTTTTATTAAATTCACACAAATAGTAGCATTTATTTAAAATAAGCCTCATTTTGGTGGGATAAAATCAAAATTTTAGTAGATTTTAATAAAATTGATAAAATATGTAGTTAAAAATTGTTTGATCTCTTAAAATATATTGTTGACTCTGATTTAGATTAAAATTTTAATTTTAATTTTTATCAAATCGGCCTAATAAATAAATCCACCTACTACCAAGTGTGTGAATAAATACGTGTTAGCGTATATTTTTTTAAGTAGTCATTTTTTTTATATATTATTTTGCTAAAATGTAGTTTGTGTCTTGTATGGTGAGGATTATTTTTAATAAATTTTGATAAAAAAAAATTTGAAATGTATGATTGAAAAATTGTAAGATCCATGAACTATATGAATAATATTGATTGTTTTATGTCCCCGGGGCACATCCCAACTCGTAAAGGACGGAATTCTTTAAGGTGGACAGTTCAGAGGTCGCTGGTTCGTTTCATGGAGTTCTTGGAAAGCATGCTTTCTCCTGGAAGATAGGATATTTCCTAGAAGGCAGAATTTCTCTTGAAAGGCAAGGCGCATACATGGGTTTGACTCGCTTGATACTTTGGTAGTTCAGTTGAGAGGGCTTTTGGACTCTGGCCAGTTTAGGGCACAACCCTTGATCTGCGTGAAGAGGGGCTGGATCGTAGGATTTATATATATATATATTTATCGATTGTTTTATTTAACTTGGATAAAAATCTGATTTAAATCAAGGTTCCGCGTCCCCCAAGATATTAAAGTTTAATTAATCGACAGAAGTTTTATTGGCCCCGAAATCCAACTTTCTTCTTCCGTGATAAAGGTTTCCTTCTTCTACAGATTGGGGCGGCGGAGGTTTTCTTTCTTCTAGAAATTGGGGGAGAGCAAAATTGGAGGTAGTATCTGATTTTATAAGTGTGAAAACGACCGCATTGTTGTGAATGATATAATTTCAACTCAACTCCTTGTAATTCATTTGTTTTTTGGAAGTTGTTAGCCTGCTGCTAATTGTGATGGAGTTCACCGGAGAATGGAAATCCCTCTGGCCCATATCCTCCGCCTTCTCTCCCCCACTCCTCCTCTCAAACCAAACCCCCAATAAACCTCTTGGCCCAATAATTTTTACTCCAAGTCTCAACACACCCATCAATGTACTGCTAGAATCCCCGTCTCTCGCCCCGAGACTCCCCCTTTCGTACCCACAACTTCCGCTCTCAAGATTCCTCCAAAAGTATTGTTCTACACCTTCCACCGCGGCATCTATTTCCTCTCTTTTTGGTCCCCAGCTCCCTGACTACTCAACCCATTTTAGTAATTTCAATGCCCTCCAACTACTCAGAATCCCGAACAAGAATTTAATTATTGTGTTTTTCCCCACTGGTGAGAATTATAATCAAGTGGGGTTTACGTTACTGTCATTAGAAGATTCCAAATTGAGTGTTACTTCGACAAGGGAAAATTTTTTCACAGTGGCGAAAGGTAGCTGCATAAATCATCACCGGATTACAAGGTTGTTGGTAAACCCAGTTAGTGACGAAGATATGTCTCTAGTTTTGAGTAATGATTATAACAGTAATAGTGTTACAATGGTTGGGTTTTTGATGGTTTGCACTGAGTATTCTGTTTATTGGTATAAAGTTTGTATTATTAGTGTAGTTAAAGGGACCAAATATTGTTCTGTTAATTTGGATTACGCAGGGTGTACCGATTCTAAGACATTCAAGGGTAAAGCAGTTGTGAGCACGTGTTGGAGTCCGCATTTGAGGGAAGAGTGTTTAGTGTTGTTGGATAATGGTGACTTGTTGATGTTTGATATTAATGAATCTTGCATAAAAAAGGGCAATCTGGGGCTTTTAGGAAGTGCAAGGAATAGAACTTTAGATAAGAAGCTGCGAGTCTCACTCAGCAATAAGGTGAGAGTAGAGAAGGATGAAAGTGGTAGTGGAGAGTGGTTTGGATGTGAATTTAGTTGGCATCCAAGGATATTTATTGTTGCTCATTCTGATGCGATATTCTTGGTTGATCTGAGCTGTCCAGGGATTTGCAATGTTAATTGTGTGCTGAAGGTTGAGATGTTGTCTAACGTGAACAATGATGGGTTTGTGTCACTCTCAAGGGTTGGTTATGATGCGTTCTGCTTCACCGTATCTACAAAACACTTGTTGCTTCTTTGTGATGTACGGAAACCAATGATGCCGTTGTTACGTTGGCTACACGGTCTTGGTAATCCACGGTACATGACTGTTCTTAGATTGTCAGAGTTAAGGTCGAACGCGAAAGTTGATGATTACAAGTGTGTGTCTGAATCAGGTTATTGCATATTGCTGGGATCTTTCTGGGACTGTGAGTTTAGTCTTTTCTGTTTTGGGTCCAAAATTAATAGAAGCAACTCTGTCTCTTCTAAAAATTTGAAGTTCTGCAACTTGTATTATGCATGGGGACTCCCTACAGAGATTTCATTGTCAGGCTATAATTGTAATTGTGGCAGCTGTTTTCTAAGAGAGGAGTTCTCAAAAAGTGCTCTCCCAGATTGGATTGACTGGAGGCAGAAAATACAGGTAGTTATGGGGTTTGGCATTCTCGATGCTGATCTTTTTGCCGAGTTATCCAGACCTAATAGTTTTGGTGGGTTTGTGTTAATTAGGTTAATGTCATCAGGGAAGCTAGAAGCACAGCAGTACCATGCAGAATGGGAATCTGAAAAATATTCTGAAATAGTTCATAAGACATGCATTCATCATGCAGATAATCTTTTATATGATACGGGTGACGCAGAATATAAATTAGAAAAGAAATTTCAGCACCTGAAGTTTGACTGCCTCAATGCCTATTTGGAAGACAATCTAGCCAAATACATTGTTGAACGAAGAGAAAATGTGAAAGAGAGTAGTGAAGATGTCCCACAAAGATGTAATGTTGCATCAAAATCCAACTTCCATCAAGAAATCTGTCATAAGCTGAAGGCCTTTAGGCTTCCTAGATTAAGGTCATCCCTGGCATTTTCTGATGTTATAGAAGATATTAGCTTACCAACCAGCGTAAATGAGATTGCTTTGAGAAGTACTTGGGCTAGCTTACCTACAAATCTCTTGCAATTGGCTTTCTGCACCTACTCAGAATTCCTTATGGATCTTGAGAAGCATAAGGAACCTTTAGAGTTCCTTGATATTCCCGATAAACTTCAACTCCTGCCCTTTCCTTTCCGAAAGCCATCACGCCGTAGCAATAAATGGTCTGATAAAGTTCAGCCTTCTGATGCTCTTGTAGGTCCAGTTCTTCCCCATCATCTTTTGACTATACTTCATAAACTCTGCATGGAAGAACTTAAAAAGGAAAGACAGACTTACCTGGAAGAAACAGAAGCATTCTCTATCAATGCTGAACGCAGACTTCAATATAAGAAAGTAATGGAGGTTATTCAGGAGCTTGCGGTTTCGGATTCTGACACCAAGATTCAGGATGATGATTTTGTTTCTCTTGCTGATGATAAAGATGAGATTAGCTACAACTACAAGACTCAAAAATCAAAGTTCTCTTATCATAAACCACTGGCATTCTCAGAGAATTCCTCTGATGTGGATGTGATGATGAGGAAATCTGGATTTGAGATTGACAGATTTTCGACCTTTGTCTTTCGGAAAACCCAAGAGCATAAATCTAATGTCGGTGCAGAGATGGTAGGGCTAGAGCTATTTGATGTGGGGTGCCCAATAGCACTAAAGTTTGATGATTATACCATTGACTTTGGGCCAAACGAGCTGGAAGCATACCAAAATTTGAAGAAACTAGATTTGGAATTTCAGAAAGGTTTTAATCTCTATCAAGATTATATCACCAGAGGGAAATCACTGAAATGAGTTTCGTGACTTTCTAAGTTTCGTCTCCGGCACTGTTTTAATCCTTGGTGGTTTAGGAAAGGCGTTGTTCAAATTTTATTAGGATATTAACTCCTTGTACAGACACCTATCTGTTGTATGTTATACATTTAAAAAAAAAAAAAATATCTGATTGAAATGTGATGAGGACATCACTTGTTTGGGCTAGCTTATTTTCTTGTAGATCATTTACTATTATTTCATTTCATTGAGCTTGTATTATTGGGTTTGGCCCAAGTTCACTTACTTTTTAGGTTTATTGGTTTCTATGAGACTTGGTAATGTAATTTGAAAGAGACAATGATTGAAGATTTATAGTCTTTGTTCCCACGGTTTCTTCTCCCTCTATGGTATTATTCTTCTTTCCCTGTGTTTCTGCTTTTTCCTCTTTCTTCCTTGTTTTCTCCTCCTTCCTCTACTTCTTTCCTGTTGCTGCTTCTTTGTCTCAACTAATTCTGCATCAAAGTGGTATCAAAGCCAAACTTGGCCTCCTTCACCCACTGCTGAAAATCTAATCGAGTTACTCTCGCTACCAACGTTGCCGCCGCTGCAACTCTTGCCATCACACCCACAAGCCCGGCAACTTCCCAGCATCTCCACCATTATGTATCACAAAACCACCCCCAAATTTTCCCCTAATCCACTACAACAATCAATCCACCACACAACCAGTACAATCGATCTGTGCCCCCACGACCGACAACCAACCACGGACTCTTCAGCCCATAATTAACCGCCAAAGCATCATGCCACCAATTATAGACGCTAACCAAGCCCGTTCATCTTCAGCCCATTAAGATCCCCATAAACCAACATTTTCTTATGCTACAGACCAACACAAAAAAAGCCCAACAAAATCGCCCACTACCAACACAATCGGCCTTGTCCACCACCAATTTCAATCCAAATACCATCAGTTACTACAATAAAAGCTACCAAATAAATCCTACCATCATCTACAGTTTCAATTCCCAAAGACAGCACCATCGCCGGCACTGCTTGCTTAACCTCCCAGCCATCTACACCCAACAACCAACTACCCAAATCTCCTATCACACAAAACAAAACCACTGAAGCTGCAAATCAACCCCAACGTCGCGACCGTTGTTACCATTCGCGACACCCACGGATGCAACCCACCAGTCGACCACTCCTATCGTCAAGGCAATATTTCATATTGCTATTGTGGGTATCTGCGTTTGGTTTGGTAATTAGGCCTTAGTTAGTTTGTGTATTTTGGAGATTGGGCCTTAGCATGTTCATGTATATAGTGGAATAATTGGTAGTTTGGGCCTTAGCTTTTAACTTAGGGAAGAGTTCACATTTCAGGCTTTAAGTTTACCTCAATTCAAAAATCAAGTAAATACTTTTAAAATTCAAAAGTCAGGTACATATTTAATTAATTAAATTTTTTTATTAAATATAGATAATAAAGTCACAGTTACACGATTAATAGTCACATATTCATAATTATAGGTCACATATTTATTTACTGGTCACATATCGACAAACTAATTGATCAAATGATTATTTCGTAGTCACAAATAAAAAATTTTGTAAGTCACATATTATTTCGAGGTCACAGATCATTCAAATTATAAGTCACATATGTCACAATTTATCGGTCACAAATTATTTTGGTCACAATTATCAAATTTTAAGTTTGAATTGGTCACAGGTGATCAAATAATTGGTCACAGATCAAATATTAGGTCATATTTTATGCCACCACTACCACTTCCACCACACTCACGCCATCCCTGTCGTCGGCCACCATCTCGCCGTCGACACTAACAATCTACCACCACCATCAGTTTCACTACCAACAAGAACTACCCAATTCCCTCGACACAACCAAAACAAGACCACCACCACCACCACCACTCCAACCAAAAAAACACAACAATCAGCATCACCACTACCCCAACACCGTACCACAACCACCACTGCAGATCCACCTCCACCGCCCATAGAAACCACCATAACAGCCACCACCACGAGCGCCACCACCTCCACAGTCACAAAATCACCGCCAACACCAAACAGTCAAACCAACACCACCATATCTCGCACCAATCCATCCACAACCACAGTCGCCACTTCCACGACCATCACCAACCAACATCACAACCACCATTACCCAAAAACCAACAACAAGCAGCCACCAATATGGCAAATCATTAACTACAGATCGAAAAAAAGAAAGAGATAACATATTAACACCCAAAAACCCCAAATCTACTCCTCGCGTCGGCACCAATCACCATTTGCCGTCATTCACACCGGTCGCCCTAACAGTAGTCCCTGAATCAGCAGCAGGCGCCGCCGCCACAGAGCCCCAACCCACCGTATCCAACATCGCCACTGTTGAAAATCGCGGCGGCACTCATAGCGATGGAAGAATTACCATGGCACTCATATTCGCGAGTCCAAGAGAAGGAGGCGACAGCACCGAAGAGGAGGTTTTACTGGCTGCTGTGGCGACCGGCAATGAATTCCGATCGGAGGCCATGGAGTTAGAGAGAGAGAGAGAGAAGAGATCAGTGAGAGAATGAAGAATGATGAAAATATTAGGGTTGGGGAATTAAATTTGAATATTTAATTATTATATCAAAGCCTGATTTTTGAACAATGAAACTTGGTTCCTGATTTTTGAACTATGATCTTTAAAGATCTGGAATTATGTAATTTCCACTTTAACTTAGTTGCTTATTTGATTTAGCAAGTGAAATTTACTGGCTGCTGTGGCGACCGGCAATGAATTCCGATCGGAGGCCATGGAGTTAGAGAGAGAGAGAGAGAAGAGATCAGTGAGAGAATGAAGAATGATGAAAATATTAGGGTTGGGGAATTAAATTTGAATATTTAATTATTATATCAAAGCCTGATTTTTGAACAATGAAACTTGGTTCCTGATTTTTGAACTATGATCTTTAAAGATCTGGAATTATGTAATTTCCACTTGAACTTAGTTGCTTATTTGATTTAGCAAGTGAAAAAAAAAACAAAAAAGGGTGAAAAAAATAGATAAGAAAAAAATCGAGAATTTCCTAACATTGTTTTGCAGATATATTTTAGTTTGATTAATCAGTACTACGTCTCAATGAACACGACAATTTTATGTCTTAGCATCTCAACAAATCAATACAGCATCTCCACGAACGAGGAAAGTTACTATTTTATATATCTTTGGTTTATATTATTGTTCATTTAAAAATTGCATAGATTAATTTTTTTGTACTGTGGTATTCCTCACTTTTACCTAAAATTCACATAATCGACACCCCAGACCTATTCAAACTCGTCTTGTTCACTTTTCACTTTTAACCTTTTACCCCATTATGTTGTTGACTAGTATTTGACCCGTGCTTTGTTATTTTACATAGATCAGCAATATTAGCTTGCCTTATTAGGATCTATATAATCCAAAAAAAAATAATAAAAAAATCATAACTGCTCAGGTCTATATTGTCTTTATGTGCAATTTTTGTTCATTGATCTCCTCATACTTTGTATTTAGTCGTTACTACATTGCATACAATTGCGGGTGGTCATCTTGTTATTCCTAGTACTAATACTTTGACCATGGATACTTCCCAATTTGATGCACCATAACGATAATTAGCCCAACTTGTCACTAATCAACAACAATTTCATACTCAATTAGCGACTTCCAATCCGATATAGCTGCTACTCGTGAGGAGAGAAAGAACCTAGATGCTAAAATGAGCCATTTTAAGCAAATCCCTCATTCGTTTGACGTTCATGAATTTAAAGTGATCCATAATAGATAATATCATCATCGACAGAGAGATAAAAAATGCTTCTGACATGATCGTAGGGATAGGGATCAAATTCTTGAGCGACAACAAGGTTGTAATCGTCACAGTACTCATTCACGTTCTTGTCGTAAGGAGAGTTTATTTAGAGGCATTAAATTAGATACTCCTACTTTTGATGGTTACTTAGATTTTTAAGTTGTTGCTCAATGGACTGCTCTTAAATAAGGGAATCAGTTAGTGACTGAGTATATTGCACAATTTGAGGAATTTCGAACCAAATGTCATGTTATTGAGGATGAAACCACAACTTTGAGTAGGTTTAGCCAAGGTCTAAGAGACGATCTTAGCCGTGAGCTTTTCCTTCGAGGTGTCGCTACTCTTAATCACGTTTACTTTTAGCCCGAGATTATGAGTTGACTATTAGTACTCCATATGAAAAGCGCGATCACCATCGTTTATCCATGTCATTAGCGCCACCTCGACAAGAGTATGTCATAGATCTTTCCCAGTCTAGTGTTCCTCCCATTTGAAAAAATAAGTTTAAAAGTCATGATAGTCCAAGGCGGCAAGGCCCCCTTCTCCATATAGAAGGTGTATTGGCAACTATTCTTCTATTTCATTGGCTCCACTTCCTCCCGTTAAGTCCTTTTTAGGACATCCCCCTTCTAATGTTCCTCCAATCTTGGAAAATAAGGGTAAAATTTTTGAAACTCCAAGGACTTATTCTCACTTGCTATGCATTAGCTATAAGGAATTTAGCCACATCTCTTCCAAATGTCCCTATTAGTACTCCATATGAAAAGCGCGATCACCATCGTTTATCCATGTCATTAGCGCCACCTCGACAAGAGTATGTCATAGATCCTTCCCAGTCTAGTGTTCCTCCCATTTGAAAAAATAAGTTTAAAAGTCATGATAGTCCAAGGCGGCAAGGCCCCCTTCTCCATATAGAAGGTGTATTGACAACTATTCTTCTATTTCATTGGCTCCACTTCCTCCCGTTAAGTCCTTTTTAGGACATCCACCTTCTAATGTTCCTCCAATCTTGGAAAATAAGGGTAAAATTTTTGAAACTTCAAGGACTTATTCTCACTTGCTATGCATTAGCTATAAGGAATTTAGCCACATCTCTTCCAAATGTCATAATCGAGCCTTAGTCATAGAAGAACGAAAGAATGTAATAGATGAGTCGTTAGAAGA